AAAAAATAATTTAAGTATAATGTCATACATATTCATGATGATCATGAAAGAATACTTTTTATACTTGTATATCAGATACTGTCACTTGTTTAATGATATCAGTACTAACTGTTTCCTACTTTGGAATATTACCTTATTCCATTGTCAGATTACTCATACTTAACCTGTATAAATCTTTGGAGAGTATTTGTGAGGTTACATCAGTTTGAACATGGCCTCCTTCTCTTGATTGTCTGCTCACGCACTGACACTTGAGGAACATTCCTTTTCATGACTGCAAATTACCTTAGATTTCTCCAGTAATTTTTGTACTCTTCTTCAAATCTCCCGTTATCCCACACTCTTCCTGAATTATAGAAATAGAAATATAAGGAGTCACTATGTTATTTCATAAAAATCAATAGATTTGTTAGGTTGATGTTATAATGTAACCAGGATGGAGATATTCTTCAAAATGTTTTCATGTTCTATTGAATGAAACTGCACTGATGAGCAACAAACAATATTCTCTGATTATATAAATGAGAAAGAAATGCCATTTTTACCTACAGAAGCCATGCTTCTAAAGGTTTCCCCCATCACATCTCTATAGAGTTTCTTCTGGGATGGATTCAGCAAAGTCCACTCCTCCAAGGTGAAGTTCACAGCCACATCCTCAAAGGTCACTGTCTCCTAAATGATCAAACACACATTTCTTGAAGAAAGGTTGAGACTCACAGGCAGGGATAGCTCAATACCTCTCTTAAAAAGTAATTGGGAGCCAAGTGTGGTGGTGCATGTCTGAACCTCAGCACTCACCAGGTGGAGGCAGAAGGATCACCATGAGTTTAAGACCAGTGTGGGGTAAACTGTGAGTTCAAGGTCAGCCTGAACTACACAGTGAGACCCTGTGTCAAAACAAAACACAGCACAACAAAGCTGAATGGAGGCTGATTCCTTCAAATATTAACTCCATGTCTTGTCAGGCATGGTGGTGCAATCAGGAGGCTGAGGCAGGAGGATAACTGTGAGTTCGAGACCAGCCTAGGCTACAAAGTGAGTTCAAGGCCAGCCTGAACTGCATAGCGAGACCCTGTCTCAAAAAGAAAAAAAAAAAAAAAACCCATGTCTTGGTCACCAATTGAATGTGTATGCACATTTGTTTCAGACAGCCATTTTGATCCTGGAGTATCACTCATTTTGGTAAAACAATGGCGGAATGGGAGCACTGGTTCTGCTGGCTCACTGCAATGATATCAGTGCATAGTTCATAGAAGGGCCCTTGAAGATCACCACCGCAAAACACTGGAGCAAATGAACCGTTTTGACAGACCATAGGTAACATCTCTTTTCAAATCGTATGTAAGGCATCAAGTTCTTCTTTCTTAGGCAGTACTTAGGCAGCACTGTAAAACTTGAATTTGGTTTCACAGAAAATATAACAACATCAACTATGGTTTATGGATGCTAATTAAAATGTTAATGGAAAAACAGTTTTATTGGAACAACTCTATGAACAATGAAAAGAGAGAAAGACTTATATTATCTTATGAGTCAGTGTCACTAAATAGTCACATTGCACTGAGATATAAGAAATTCTAGGTGGAGCTGGGGATTTAGCTCACGGCAAAGTGCCTGCCTGGCAAGTGCAAGATCGTGAGTTTGGTTCCCGGTACCAGAGAAAAAAACCAAAAACAAAAACAAACAAAAAAAACCAACCAAACAAACAAACAAACAAAAATTCTAGGTGGATACAGGAGTGTAATGAGGGAAAGAAGATGACTACAATGTTTTATATGCATTGAAAAGCAATATATCACAAAGAAAATAGGCACAAAAGGAAAATTTCAGCCAGGTATGGCTGGCTGATGAAAATTTCAGTCATGTCTGTAATTCCATCCCTTGGAAAGCTGATGCAGAAGGACTGCTATGAGTTTGGGGTGATCCTTGGCTACACAGTAAGTTCAAGACCAGTCTGAAATATAAAGTAAGACTCTGCCTCAATCTCCCCCAAAAAGAAAAACTTGAAAAAACATTGTGTCACTTATAAATGACACATTTTTTTTAAAAAAATAGCAGTACTGTAAATAAAAGACTAACAACATTTAATACCTTCTAAGCAAGAAGGTTGATAGTCTAATATAAATGAAATACATTCAAAATCCACCTTTCGGGGCTGGGGATTTAGCTCAGCGGCAAAGCGCCTGCCTGGCAAGCGCAAGGTCGTGAGTTCGGTTCCCGGTACCGGAGAAAAACCAAAAAAAAAAAAAAAAAAAAAAAAAAAATCCACCTTTCATGAGACTGCATCATTAACAAAGGGAATGACACATTGATCTCAGGGGAGGAAGGCAGTCTTCAGTGGATCCACATGTACAATGAATACTGATTCATGATATAGCTGGTATGATGGGTCTCTAGAAGAAATCACAGTCTGTTTCATGTATGTTCAGTGAGAAATTGGTATGCATCTGGAAACCTGAAATATATAATCTTGTATTCTATGTGTAATAAAGTTACATATCAAAATGGGAATGATAACCTTGAATGCTGTGAGAAGTCATAGTGAAATAACTTTTTTATGTCCAAAAGGTGCTTCCTCAGAAGACAATCATAAGACATAAGACAAAAACAAAATATTTGCTGTGTACACAATATAAAGATTCTGTATAGGGAGCAAAGATAATGAACACAAACCTAATAAATGACTACAACATATCTGACTCAAGAGAAAACAGTGAATAGAAAACAAAAATCAAATTTTTTTCTGAGAAAATCACTAAAGAAAATGAAGTGTAGAAAAACATAATAAAGAAGTAGACTTATGCAAAAATTGAGACTCCAATAATACACTCTATACCCATTTCTTTTCCTTTGGAATTTACCAAAATATGAGCAGTGACTTCTTTCCAATATCTAGAGAAAGCAGTATACCTTTATTCCTGGAGACAGATGTGATTCTCTTCAAGGAAATCACAAAAATCCTGAACCACATGACCAAAGAATAGATGAGAAAGCACTTTGCCCTTGATTCACATATTTGCACTTATGAACAATGGTGAGACCAAAAAAACTCTGAAAATGTTTACTTTTGCAGTTTCTGTAATACTCATGGAAAATTCCAAGGGAAGAAACTAAAATAATACTGTTCATACAAAATCACACATGGTAAACTTAGTAAGTCACCAAAGTGGGAGAGTGGTCATCCACGGGGCAAGAGAGGTTTGAGTCAGGTAGGGATCAGTCAGCTGGACACTCTTCATTGTCCAAGCCCAGTGATGATTTTTTTCTAATATTTCCAGGATATTTACATTCCTAGCTGGGCACAGTGGTGCATGCCTGTAATGCCAGGACTTGGGAGACTGAGGCAGGAGGATCATCATGAGTTTCAGGCCAGCTTGGGCTACATAACTGAGTATAAGGCTAGTCTGGACTACATAGTATGATCCTGTCTCCAGATAACAGGATATTTTATAATTGGTTACATAGGCTGGGCCCTATGTTGTCAGGCAGACTTCTTCTGCATATGCTAATTGGGGTTATTATCATATAATATGGGGGAAAGAATCAATCACTGTCTGAGACCAGGCAGAGGTGTCCTTGAGGTGATAAGTCTCTGGCACTTGAAAGTGAGAAAAACATCACCGTCTGGCTAAGTTGCACTTATCTTGCACCTGGCTCCAGGGGAACCATGGCTCATTAAGTTTTGTGGCTCTCTAATTATGAGAATCAAGTGTGTTTCTCAGTCTCTTCCTTGAGCAGTGTTAGAATATACTAGTACTGGATGTGAGGGTGATCTGGCTGCAACATCTATCACCCTGTTGATTGCCAGGGTTGATTTGGATGATCTAGCTGGCTAGGTAGGTGTCCCCTTCCTCCCTCAGTGCTCCATGTGTGTTCCTCCTGAAGCTGTGTGCTTAGTCAAAGAGCACGACCACCCCCGATACAGGGTGACCGTTCCTCAGTCAAGGGTGTACAAGTAGCTACACTCCCCTGCTGGAACCTCCAAACAAGCTCTCAAGAAATATACTAGTGTTGGAAATAAAGAATTAAAATTTTCATTACATTTAAAAAAGCCCCTACAATACCAGCAAAAAAATTATGGAATTATTAAGATATTATACCACAGAGTATGTCCCTAGATAAGTATACAAAAGTATGCCATGTAATTATGTATCAGGTATAAACAAGTGGATTAAAAATTATAAATCTAAGAGCATGTGCAAGCCCTCACAGTGACACACACAATTTTACAAATGTTACAAGCCCATATATGGAAGAGGTTCAACACTAGATGAAATAAACACAAGAAAAGCCACAAAAATATAATGAAATATATTAGATGGACAAGTATAAACAAACTATTCTACATATTGGTAAAACATAAGAAACCACATATCTATAAAATATTAGATGAAAATTTTATATAAAAAATTTTCCAAATTCTGAATTTTTTCCTGCATGCCACTATCCTTATTCTGTGAATTCTAATTCATTATCGCTTAAAGAAAAAAAAATCAATAATAACATTTTTAATCATATCAGCAAAATTTTTTTTTAATGGACATGAAAAAGCCCAAGCCCAGAGGCAGTTCTAGGGAATGGCTGAAGATGGAAATTGACCATACATATGGCAGCGAGGCAAAGCCAGTCAGGAGCAAAGAGCACCTGATTCAAGCCACATGATCAAGCTGCTTCAGTCCAGAGAACACCAAGCTCCAAGACAATCCAAACAATCAGTTGCTATGCAAAGTGGTGTCATATGACACCAACCTGTCAAATGTTTAAATAAATGCCTTATGGTGGTTGAGCAGTTTCTTTCCTCCCACCTGGAGAGAGAGGGCTTCACCAGACCTCAGCTTTTGTCTCTTATATTTGTTTTTCCATCCTCTTGCCATCCTCCCCCCGATAGGAACTTCAAGAGCTGCATGGGATGCAGCAGGATGTGCAGTAAGAAAGTGAAGTGGCTGAAATATGAGTTTCCCTACAATTCTATTGGCAATAAATTGAGGCAAAGAAATTATGAATAATATTTCAAGCATAATAATGATGATCTATTAACCTAACTACTAACTTGCTGAAAACTCCAAAGAACTAAAACCAAATAACACTTTGCTTGATGAGAGTGTTAAGGTCCAAAGAGACTTCAGAAGGCTGCGTATGGTGGAGCATGCCTGTGGTCATAACACTCAGAAGGCTGAGGCAGGAGGATCACTGTGAATTTGAGATCAGCCTGGGCTACAAAGTGAGTTCAAGTTCAGCCTGAACTTCATTGTGAGACCCTGTCTCAAAACAAGAGAGAGAGAAACAGAGGGAGAGGGAGAGAGAGAGAAACTTCAGAAAATCCATCCTGTAGCCACCATGGGAGTAGCCAGATGAAATCAGAGACACACTAGAAGGAACCATAGGGGATTTATTCACTTGCATAATGATTCTATGGATATTTAGGCATATTTATGGTAAATACAACAAATATTACTTCTAAATTTTTCTTTGTTTTTCAAATATAATCAATTCTCCACTCGATTTTTAACAAGGAAAATTATAATCTAATGTTTTTTTGTTTTTTTTTGTTTTCCTCCGGTACCGGGAACCGAGCTCACAACCTTGTGCTTGCCAGGCAGGCGGTTTTGCCACTGAGCTAAATCCCCAGCCCCTAATCTAACGTTTAAATCATAAAAATCAATTCTTACATC